CAAAAAATAGCGAAAGCAAGGATGACCATTGACTGCCCTCGGTGCGCAGATGGTTAGTGCTATGAGGCGCAGCTGTTGTCCTTCTATTATCCATGGATCGAGTCCCACCCATGTCAATCATGACTCTCACTTCTCAATAGAGAAAATGGAAAACTTATTTATGGGAAACTCTCTTATAATGGGAAAGCCTAATCAAAACGTTGGGTTCCTGGCAGTTTCCTTGGCATGGGACCCACACAAATCATGAAATGGACGAGTTAGAACTAAAGTAAATGATGTGATTTGTTCAGAAGAAGTTGACAAACGACGTCTGTCTTCGTCACTTTCAGAAAGAGCGTTTTTTCAGAATAAGAAAGAACCGGTTTCTCTAAATGTGTTACTTGATTTTATGGGCGAGCTGGGTGTAACCTGAATGAGGTCAGAGTTTCGAGATTCCATATGAGGCTGAGAGTTGTTTGACCCGAAATACAATGCAAATGTCCCGGAAGCAATTGAAAGTAGTAGCATAGGCGATGATGATTTCTGACGGATTTCGATGCTAACATATTCTCAGACACTAGTTTGTTTTCGCAAATCGTGTAGCCGCATATTATCGTGACGTCGGAACACGCCCTTTGTCAAATGCCTCCCGAATGCTTCCCACGATTACCTGTTGTCTTCAGTCTGCATAACAATACAGATTATCACCGACATTTTTGGAAAGACGGTTCGTCGCCAAAGTCAGTATCTGAATACAGTCTTCCAGCGTTCGGTAGACGTTCAAAAAAGTAGTCCAGGCGAATGCGGGGAAGGGAGGCTGTTCACTGAGAGCAGAGCGCCCAGCATGTAGGCTGCAAGGAAGCGACGTGATTTCCCGTGAATAGAGCCGCCGAGTGATCTTAGGCCCCCATGGGCGGCCAAATCCCAACTGACCAGCCACTCGTCGCCACCGCCGTCGTCTTCACCGCCCCCAGCTGGCCGCACGAGCGTCCGTCCTGGTTGACTACGTCCGGGCGCGCATCTCAGTTCGGGCCGTTTCAAACGTCCCTTGCGCCCGCCCGGCCATTATGCGCCACTCGACAACCAAAGCTTTTTCGTTGGCCACCACTGACTCAGCACATTCACGTTCACCGATCTTAGCACATACGCAGACACAAACACGCTCATTCCATACTTTTTCACTCAAGGTTGTTCGCTGTTCTCATTCAATCCCGGATCCTCCCACGCTCCCAAATCTCCCACTTATCAAAGTGCGATGACGTTTTCCCCCCATCTGCATAAGAAACGAGCCGCAGCTGATCTTGTTTGACTGCTTCCTGGATGTCCACTGGGCGTGGGTGGTTACTGCATGAATCGCTTTAGATCTACGCGTTGTTGCTTGCTTATGACGCTTATGTCAGCCGGCTGCCTCCACCCGCCATCCCCTCATTAACATGGTTATCCCCAATATGGGAAACCGGAGCATGGCAGCGATGATTGGACCTATCTGCACATCCAGACACCCCCGTATATGCACACACGCATACACACACATACAGACACTCATACCCCCGTATCTACCCATCTGTTTAATCATCTATCTCAGCTCTAGCCGTTTTCTCGTACAATTTCCCATCAAGGCGTTAACAGCTGTCCCGTCAGCGTGAGATGTTGTGTCCGCTTTCGCATCGAGCGAATCTTGTTATCGAGATGTTACTACTGCTACTACTACTGCTTTTACTACTTTTACTATTACTTACTGTTGTCGTTGTTATTGTTGTTCCCTATGATGTCGTTGTTGGTTAAGGCGTGTGCGAAGTGCATTAGAGTTCGGTGGAAAACACGTTCGGGCCGACTAGCTGCAGCTAACTGGCGCATTTGGCCGTCAGTGTCGGTCGGTCGGTCGGTGGGTCGGTCGGTCGGTCGCATCGTCGACGACGTCGAGAACGTCGTTGGCCGCAAGTCGTCGTCATTCGTGCCACGACGCGTAACATCGGTAGAATACTGCCCGAAGTATGGCACAGGTCGGAGAGCGATTAAGGTAAGCCACGAACAGTATTACTCAAGGCTTCGAGTTATAGTATGGAGCTAGGAGGAACCGCATAAGAAGGATTGTTCTATCTAACCTCCAACGGCAGCCATCTTCAACTAGCTGGTTGTCCGACCACCCACCGGTCGCGCGCGACCGCTGTTTGCCGCGCAAGCGGCCGCCGCTGGATGGCCGTCTCGGACATTGGCTACTTGGGATGGTCAGTCAAGGAATGCATCGCTATGGAGTATAGTTAGCAACGACCTACCATGAGTACCGTACTCCACACCGATGCAGCAGCTCATCTAGCCGCCTGGGCAATTATTTGACACGGGGCGATTTGCGACTATAACACATACGCACTACTACGAAGTAAATCTGACCGACCCCATTGAGGCCAATCGATAGGCTGGTGGCGGTTCTCTGCACGCTCCGGGCCGGCGACATATCGACTGCTCGTCTCTCAGCGCTGTCGTTGTCGTCGTTGCGCTCACGTTCGCTAGCCCCACGCCTCGGACCCCCTCGGCTGACGTCCGCACAGGATTTCTACCAGTCCATTTGTGGCACTCCACCGGAAACCGACTCGCTCGCCACTTTTCCTAACGTTGTTTCATGTGTAAGTTCATCAAATATTACTGCTGGGCTCTGATAAGTAGTTGAGTTATGTATCTACGAGGAGAACGATCTCACCATGTTCTCAGACAGCGCCGGTGTTAAACTGTTGACCCATAATGCCTCTCTAGTCATCAGTCGCTGTGTTGTTTGATCAGTACGAGTACGAATCACTGTGTGTTTGATAGCTCCCCTCGGTCGCCCCGTTCCGACGAATTTCTCTCTTAACTGACAGTCTTCATCACCCCTGCTGACTTCGCAGCGATTCCGAACAGCTATGAGTTGGTTGTAAGTCCGTTTTTTGCCGTTTGATGAATGATTATTGATGGGAAGGAACAGTTGCTAAGAAAGAGATAGAAACAAAAATACCTACCGCTGGCAGGAATCAACCAAAAGCACGTAGCTCTGAACGAGGATTCTAGACCTAGTTAACAATCGATATCAGATAAAATTTGTTAATATGTTCAGTATGGCAAGTTTTCGATGATTCGGCCATTGCCTCTAAGTACTCCCTATTTTCATAGCATGTTGATTACCATTAGAAGGGGTCCGTCGTAGGAGCTACGGGCACATATGTTTGCGTTCTTCTGTTCGAAAATCGAATCTATTCATGTTTTCAATGCTTTCGTGGATGAAGAGTCGATAAAATATAATTACTGAGATGAATCACAAGTAAGCAGCGTTCCCAGTGGGGTACACGAAGTCATGGGGAATTGGCTCTTACGGGGAGGAATCAGCGGGTAAAGTGCTATAGCTTTATGAGGACAACAGATTGTACCTGCTTGTCGTTGTAATGCCCTTCGCAGAGCGGCATTATCAGTGATCATCCCCATGGGTACATTTGTATCCACAAAGTTCGGATGTCCACGTTCGATATCCGTGCGGATATACGCGTGGGAGATGTATGTATGTATATACGTGTACGTGCGATGCATATGTGTGTGTGCGTGAAGTTTAATGATACCGCAACAACCGGTCATTCCCCATCAAAGTGTATCAAGATAGGCGCAACACACACACACATTCTCCACCCTTTATTTCATTGTGTTCGTTTTACCTCTAGTTGTTGACGGTCGCGGTGTATATGTGTGTATGTCATGCCGACAATTACTACACGGCAACTGTAAGTTATTGACAATATACATACATCTGCCCCATCTAACCTATTATCGCATACGAATCCGTTTTCATGCTCAATTATTAAGGGACTCGTTGGTGCGTATTGGATGCACATCCCAGTGCGCTCCACCGGCCCCTATGAGGCTATGTCGCATTAGTGCGAATAATGCCAGGCATTTTAGGGGTTCTGGGAATGACCTTCTAGTCAATGCTTCATTAGTGTATGTCTGAGAAAAGGCCTAAGAAAGCTTATAAATAAATCTCATAACAGGTAGCGAAGTAAGTAACAGTAGTAGTTCTTGTCGTTCGCCGAGATTCAGAATACATTCTTTTGATTCCGGGATTCTTTTGTGCGGAAAACTGGTTAAAGACCTGTTTATCACGCGTTCTTTTCTCATTCCCCGAAATATCGAGTAAGAATGTGAGGCGACTTTCTTCTTATACCCTCTAACTTCTAGTGTTTTGTCATCTTGTTGAGAAGTCAAGACTGGAAGCAAATCATAAGTCGATAGAGGGGCTAACCTCATACCTTTTTCCCCTACATTGAAGAATGTTTCTTGTAATACAATGAAAAACCCAAGATATTTAGTATTAATTGGGATACCATGCATGTTTGCATGCAAACGCGCTCTATTTTCGCCGCCTCGTCCTTTAATAAATTTTTGAATGGCATGAGAGCCAGCTCAAACATGATCCCAAGATCAGTCGGGAGCAGTTGCTTTTACCAATATGGAGTCGCTTTGGTGACTTCATGCTTCACCAACTTCCTGTGGTGGGTTCTGAATGCGTTTTTCGGGCAATTCAACTAGGCTAGCGCTTACTTCATGGTGATAGTTAAGTCATAGGACAAGTTTAGAGAACGTATTGTCATCACAGCTCACAAAAGAAACCCTGGCTCATGTTTTCATTTCAGTTACACTAGTTCCACTACGACAAGTTATGTGTTGGTGTAAGATGATGATGTGTGGTAATGTCGGTAGTGTAAGGGATAGAGCACGGTGCCCGGGAAGCACAAGTACGGGTTCGAGTCCCGTCCGAGGCTGAAGTTTTGTCCATAAATCGCCAGCTATGAAACGTCTACAAAGTATTTGCGGCAAAATTCAACACCAAAATTATTCCCAAAAAGGCCCACAAATTTCAGTAGAACTTCCCTGTCGGTTGAGATTGCGCTTACGAGAGAGTAGGTGCCATCTAGTCTGGGTCCCAAACACATTAGGCAGGGAAATAAATTACTTTTTCATTTAACTACAGTACTACCGTGTTCTATGTTTATCATTTCAGGATGCAACTGAATTACCTGAAAGGAGCTCGGCTTTCCGAAACAAGCACTGTTAAGATGCTATCAGTGTTGAAGGTGAGATCGCACTTCAGTTTTTTAAATTTTTAAAATCTAAATATTGTTGATTGCCACCTTTTTCTACTGCCGTTTTTGTGAGGCATTTCCTGGGTAACGGAAAAACCTTAATTAGCGCGGTTAAATGCCACTAAATCAGAAATTCAAAAATGTCGAGTAGAAATAATTTTATTCATGGTGGTCCTAGTTTGGCTCTAACACTGGAATATTCTACCAAAGCTAGCTCCAGATGTTTTCAAGAGGGTTTTTCTTTCGTGGATCGACTTTGCTGATTTTATGTCGGAATAAGTTTCTGAAATGGAATTCAGACTTGGAACTTTTCCTATTGTAGCCATGTGAGCTGTATCATCTGCTCTGTTTACTCATTATTATCTTATAAAGTCTTGCCAATGTCTAGAATGAATGTTTCTATTTTTCGTATAGTCTTTATACCCCTTGCCGATCCATCAAATTGATTTAATGGCGAATAAGCTTCTTTTTTTTGTCAGTGGATTAGGTGTGAATTCTCTATAGGAAGCCTAAAAGTGCACCTGTACTGCTATAGCTTGACTAATCTTCCTATTAGTCAGCCTTCAATGAATTAGTTTGCTTCTCAGGTTTGATTCCCCTGTACTTTAACTGAGTGGTGTCACTTATATCAACTCATGGTAGCAGTTCTGAATTGCAGCACTTACTTCACCCACCACTCCCGTGTCTTTGCCCATAGCCTTTTTCCGATGTGTCGTTCTGCGGTGTGTAGTTGAAGACGCAGTGCATGTGACACGAATGATGGGGTAGCCCTTTTGTGAGCTGTTGGTACACAAGTGCGGACTGATAACGCGAATATTTATAAATAGCACTTCCTCGACCAGGGGTCACGGAACATTCATGCGTCCGAAAAAGCGCGCGGCAAATCGCGTGGTGAAATTCGTTGCGATTTTGAACGGCTTCAGCGCCTACCATTGGGGTCTAAATTCGAAGTAGAGTAGATTACTAGGATCAGCTGATCCTGTTAATCATCTTTACTTTAAACCTGTGGCCAAGTGGCAGGCGCCAGAGTCTCAAAAATCTGATGGTGCTCATGTTTTGCCACGAAAAATTAATGCACGTATGAATTTAATTGTCTCATAAAGCAAGCAAACTTTTTTAGCAAGGTTATTTAGATAACTTTTTTATAACTTTTCTATAACTCATTTATTTCACATCTCTGAATATAAAATAAAGGTTCTTTACTGTTTTGAATCTTCTTCGTAAGGTTTCAAACCATCAGATTCACCATCATGTGAAGCTCTACGTGACGTCTTGATTCGTGGCTACAGTAATGCCATAAAAATTACTGGCGTTAAATTCCTATATTATTTCCATCACAAATATTGCTTGCCAAATTGTCGCGTGCAGTATATACGAAAAATTTATTAAACTCAAATCAATTAGTCCTATTCAAAAATGTTTTTGACAATCAAATGACAGTTTTCGTTGACAATTTTGTGGTGCAGTAAATGTGTGTAGTGTTTTTCTAGTACCTTAACACACAGTATCCCCCGTTATTTCAGGCGTTAGCCCAGTGTCATGTTATTTTGGGTCTGATAATGCTGATCTTGTCAACGTTAGCTGATTACGTAAGCAGCCGAATAAACACCATACGAATGTACGGATTAGAGGAGTGCTGCTCATTCTACTTCATTGTTACCGGGTATGTATTTACTTTGAACTCATCCTCCTGCCATTGTAATGTGTCATTTGGTCTGTCCTCTCTGATCGTTTTTGCTTCAGTTTACTTTATTAAATTGGTTTATGTATCAGAAAAGAGAATTTTATTTGAGCAAAGTACTACTTTGTTGAGTCGTTTTATTTCAAAATAAAATTATTAATATGGATGTACATGTACTGTTTTTAGATTTTTATCAAATAGACAAATAATGTTGTCTTTTCAGTCTAGTGGGTTTATGCGGTGCAGCCTCATATAGAAGAGGGCTAGTGATCACTTTTCTTGTCATGTCGATTCATGCAATCATCATTTTTGTGCCAGCTATTATAATCGTGTCTAGCTTCGACATTCACTTTTACCAGGTAAAGGGATGTTCATTTAAAGTTATTTATTAGTGAGTAGGAATTGTTTTTTTGTTCAATATGTATATTTCTAGCATGAATGCTGGGGCGAATGTGATTGGCATTTATTGGCGACATCACTACCTCGGAACAGTCGCTGTCAGATCATGTGTGGCGATCATGTAGACGACAATATGAGAGTGTACGTCATTTGTTTGTTGTTTTCTGTTGTTTGTAAATCACCCGATTCGGTAATCTACTTGTACTTTTCTACAAAGCAAAGTTCGTGATAAGTGGGAGGTGATTAGAGGATCATGGTCAAGAACCAATCAAGAGCATTTTTTGCACGCTTGCAAGCCAGGCTCAAGAAAAGAGAACGTTTTACGACTTCTGGTCGTTCCCTGTTTTAAAAGCGAGCAGTTTTTGAGATTACTGTAGTCCTGTTCCCATCTGGGCTACCCGTTCTAACCGCGTTTCCGAGGGGGTTCGAAAAGTGGACTGTGCATGTATAAAAGTACAAGATGAACGGGATGCATGCGTTGTTGCATTCAGTGTAAAGTGTTGTAATATCGTTTCTTCTTTAGCTCAATGACTCGTCTGGGTACCGATTATCGACTAGACGCCGGTCTCATAGCGGCTGCGATTCTGGAATTATTGTTAGCGTTGGCAACAACAATAATTTCTTCACGAACGATTTGCAGTACGGTGCGGGTGAGACTTTCCATCTATTGATTGAATGGCAAATCATGTTTCCACAGATGGAATGACAATATACATAGCGGTCATATGTCTTTGTTGATGTAGCAGGGGATAAAATGATTGGCCAATAATATTTGAAAAATTATTGATTGGAAAAAGTTTGTTCAGAGCTTACAAAGTCAGCTTTTACTTACACTATCCGGGTTTGATTCTATCCAGCCGCAACTAGTCATATACACACGCACCAAAATGTGGTCACACAGTGTTTATGGTAGGCGTGCGATCGCGCAGCGGTCCCGTAGCGCCATCTTCTCTTCCCGTTATCTAAGAATCACCAGCATCCTATAGATTTCGCATTTTTCATTAGAGAAACTGTACGACTCCAAATTACTGGATCGAACTTTTAAGTACCGACGTTTGTCCCTCGGCGTCGCAACCGTGGTGCTGACTGCGGCGTCGCCAATTCCTTACTTCGGAAACAGCTGAGCCTGTGAAATCTCCAACCACCCGCTCAAATAAACGACGCATCTAAAAAAGATTTTGGTATGGTGGTGTAGCGGGACGGACACGCTATGACAGTGGGTGCCACGTAACAGGATCACCGGTATTCACAAACAGCCTCCGTTTACCCTGGCAGTGGCTATCTGTAGCCATATAGGTGTTGTCATATATGAAAAGGGATGAAGTGAGTGTTAAGGTGGAAAGGAGACGTGGATGAACTGAATTTTTACAGGGTCCATCAGTTGAAATGGTTCCGTTAAATGGCGATACAACATCGATGTCACGCGGTCCATAATCGGCATGCCCACTGGCTGGATTTCATCTCAGGCTGGCTGGATGCTTGTCAGTAACACGCTCACACTTGTATTGTTCCGTTACATTCACGTGTTTGACTGATTTCGATTGATGTAATAAGCGTATGTTCCATTTCGTACAGTGTCCTGGCCTAGCGCAGGCACCATGCACAGGTCCTTCTCTGCATCTCATGAGTGTTTTTCCGTTATTCTTCGATACGACTCATTTCCCTGAGCTTATCCGGTGCGCCCATGTAATAAGGCAGAGCTACTCCTTCCTAGTGGAAAGAGTATAAAATGAATTTGACTGACCAAACCTTGTTGTGTAGTGTACAGTTTTGGCTAGGGGGACTGCGGACGTTTGGCGCTTGTGATTGGTGATCAAGAGCAATCAGTCAATAACAGGCGTCGGAAGTATCCAGGCCGCGACTGGCCACAAATCAGTTCTACGGCCGACGACTGTATGTCGGTCTCGTTGAGGTCTTTCTGTGTCTATTCATGTAATCGTTTTCGCCTGTGTTTTCATGGCCGAGGTGCTGCATTCAGTTGGGATTACTCACCCACTAGAGGTCTTTTCTCTCTACAATGATGGCGGGATAAGAATATTAGTCATTTCGTGTTTATGAAGTTTACTCGCCCGATGGATTTCATCCTATTGAAAGTGTATTTGGCATGCGAACTTGTACAGGTACGGCTATTTGGAGCCGCAACATCGATCTATCTTCTTCAATTCAGAAAGAGATTATTCCTTCGTCCGTCTCAGTTGTAAACATTGACTTGCAATAAACTTTATTTCTTCTGTTTTTTTTAGACTAGACTTTTTTACAAGGGTGTTGTGGACAAGTACAAAATGCTAACGAATCAATTGGTTGGATAGGCTGTCGAGAGGCACGTCCCTGCGGAACAATCCTGTGTGTACGAGGTGACAGCAAGTGGGTGTCCGTCTATACTGTACTTACAGGCATTACTTCCAGGATGAATAAGTGCACAAACCGTGAGCAGTGAAAAATCGAATACTGGAATTATTAAATTTAGTAATTACAACTTTACATATGGGAATAGCCTTTCACATAAGTCGTTAGGTCATACTATAGAAATATTGAGATTTCCAAATACTCGAAAGTCGGCTGTCTTCAATGAAAGTCCTCCTACTGACCTTGCGACCGAACCATACATAAGTCACATTGCAATTTTTTGTGCACCTGTCAGAGTCATGGGATGAATGTAGTTCTCCCAAAATGCTCCCTTTATAATCCAGATTACGGTAGCTAATTAAACGTTAGCACTTCCACAGAGAACGGCCACGTAGTAGTTACCGACACCGCGAAGGATTGCTTGAGGGTGGCATCTCGTGACCCATTCCATGTTTAGCAAAAATTGCAAAACTGCTTTTATTCTAACGAACCGATCTATATTGATTTGGTTGGTGGGAAATCACTGTAGCGGTCAATAATGACAAACGGTAAACAGCAAAATGGTGTATTTATTTACACATATAACGCGCGACCACAGGGTGGGGGGTTAAGTAGAGGCGCGCTAAAAAAACTAGTTTGGGAGAAAATCGATAAACAATCATTCCTATAGAGACAGTGCTTAGTGAAGTACAAAAAAAAGCACAAGTGCTCCCTTTTGGTGATCGACCAGTCATACGGTAGAGGGCAGAACCAGAAACCGTTCTAGTGAGCCCCGATTTAGATACTGTTTAATGGTAAATGTATAAACTGTTCACTAACCTGGCGACGTGCCAATAAGGAAGCCACCCTTCTGCTTCAGTTGATTTTCCCAAGTGTATTGGAATGTACCGGTAAGGTTCTGAATTGATGAGCAGTATTTTATGAGGATTCACCAAAAAGTATAAATGCACACAGCTTAGTTCAAATGAGTAGCCATGTTTTTAGTTTGTAACTATTGAGCGTGCGGTTGCGTAACGATTAGTCCTCTGACGGTTACATTATCGTACAAATGGATTGATAAAGTTCAAATCATTCTTGGAACCGTTTTACTCGCTAGAGATCCCTCTCTCTCTCTTCACTTACTTGTCATCAAGTCCTGACTAACTGACTCTTTTTGAAAAGACCACACCCGATAATGGGGGCAATTTGAAAAACTGCTGGACATTTTCATGAATACCGAATAAGATTAGAAAAACTTACACCGACGTACGAGTAATACCCATGATAGTTGATTTTATCGGCTTTTTGGAGCAGGTAATATCTGGCCCAATCGTGTTGTCCATCAATTGTGGTATCCTTCCATTCGCCGACAAACACATGTTCCCATCCTTTACAATTAAATATTAACTTTCGAAACCAGTCGTAAAAGCAAGTTAGATGTTTTGGGAATCAAAATCGGAAGGATTTTCAGAAAAATGTTTTGGGAGAAAAGAAAAATAAATTTATGAAAAAGAAAAATAAATGCGGGTGTGATAGATCGGAGTTGGAGCACAAGGCAGAGGACGTTCGAACATTGACGGGATCAATGAGTCATAAGTATCGATTAATTAGACACATTCGTGTAGCAGATGGATTTTTCAAGAGCTTTTGTTGTTGAGGGGGTGGAAGCTAGAAAGTAAACAAATAGTGGAACTCCGAAAGCTGGACTTTGATATCTTTCTGAGAAACCGGAAAACTTCTGCTCGTAATGATTCTAGAACCCCCAAAAAGGCTTATAATTCCTTTTGAATTTCGGGCCCTTGAGAAAACTCAAGCTCAAGAGTTTTTGATAGGTGCTTACCAGAACTTCCAATCGGTCCTTTACAGCGTGAGTAGGTGCCAAACCAAAGGTTCCAAAGGAATGTCTTCAATGTCGTCATGTCAGTTGCATGACTGTATCCTGGATTGAATTAAAATTTCAAAGTTCTTTGATGATGGAAAACTCGAACCTTTCTTTTGCAGATACTGGAAAGCCAAATTGAAGACTTTGGTTGCTGTCCAGGTATCGAAAACCTGTTGCAATGCGGCTTTACGGAATCCACTCATTGCCGGTTCAGCAGTGCACACCTTAACTTAGTTCTAAGAAGTAATCGAAGTTTATCGAATTTAAGCGAGAGCGAAGGTTGTAGAAACGTCGCGCGCAGTCGCGGAGCGGCAAATTCAATTCAAGCGGCATTTGAACACAATTGCTTTATGTCGGTGCATATATAATACCCTTGAGACTTGTAATGTTGCACTTGGGAAAGGGACATGTCCTACATAATAAATGAAGTCTCCGGCAGGCCGTAGATGGACGGTGGCAGCGAGATGGAGTTTGGATATATCGGCGGCATGACCTGTTTCGGAATTACTAGTCTGCTTCACAAACTACATACCAGTAGCCTACATAGTAAGTAGTAATTCTCTTCTCGATAACAACCATCCTTTTGCACCTCCTGGCTGATTAGTCGAGATGGGGAATGCTTGGTAGCTGAGGGGTACCCGGACCGCGTTTACTGCCCTTGCTGACTTACATCTGGAGTGAAGAGGTTCTGGTTGTACACATCGATCAACGTGGAGTAGACAGGTCGTTGGAAAATGGCCTCGTTAACGTAAGTGAAGAGCCTGAAAAGTGAAAATGCCGAAGAGAATTAGAAAAAACTTTAAAAAATCTAGAGTTACTGCACGTCATGTAGAGCATTTGAAACGTACTGATTTGGGCTAGTCTTCGTATTTCCCGATTCCTTGTTACCCCAGTTCAGTATGTAGTCGTTTGGGCCAGCCTTATCGACATCGGCTGCTCGCATGTTATCCACAAGGGTCTGAAAAGATATCCCATTCAAAGGACTGAAGCAGTCAATCTGCATTGGGACACATCCTGAGCCATAGTGATACCGGGATGCACCTTCTTGGGTGTGTGCCATTAGGTCAGGCTTCGTCTCGGCACGTATGCTCTTCAAAAGGAGTCAAGCCGAGAGATTTGTTCCAGTAATTTGCGTACAAATGAGGTACACGATATGTTTCCGAATTATATGCCCTTTTTCACTTACAAGGGAAGGATCCCAAGTCGAAGTGGCCATTTAAAATGGGACCTAT